TGTTGCCCCGTGTCCCTGGCACCAGGCACAGCACGCAGTCCGCAGGACCTGTGGCCTGAGTCGCCTCTGTGGTGGCTGGGCCAGCCTGGCCTCGGTTTCTGTGGCGTCCCCCGCCTCCCGTGGGGTCTCAGATCTGCGGTCACAGCTCGTTCCTGGCCCTGCCATACCCCGGGCGCTTGACCCGGACAAGCCACTCAGGTCCTCTGCGTCTCCTCTGTGTCGTGAGTCACTCGTGTAAGAGAACAGGCGTGAGTGTGCTTCCTGTGTGAGCCTCAGCCAGCTGTGTGTGTGACGGGTGTGTTTCCGTTTGAGCTGCAGCTCGTCCGAAGCCTCTGGTCTCTGTCCCGAACTTAGGGAATATCGCAAAACTAAGAGCTCTTGGCTGGGAAGTCCTCAGGTTAAAGGAGAGGGTGGGCGTCAGGACAGCAGGACAAAGCCTCATCTGCGTCACACACAGTCCTTCCGACCATGTCTCTCCTGCCGAGCTGCTTATGCTGAGTTTCATGTAGTTTCAGATTCTTAAATTAAAGCCGATCTTGTATTTCTTCTACCAAATGTTCTGTGTGTTTGTTTGACGCTGGCCGGCTTGGCTTGTGGTCTGTGGCGATCACCAGCGGACAGGCAGGTATGGCTGCTGACAGTTTCAGGACACTTTCTGGGAGAAAGTCTGAGTGTTGAGAAAATCCCCCCGCTGACGTGATTGGTTCCGTGAATGGGTGAGGAGGGCCGTTCTTGGTCTTAGTGAGCTGGTCGGCGAGGACGGTCGCATGGGGACTGTTACGAGGACGTCACTGGGGTCATGGCGTGAGGACCAGTCACCGGGCCAGCCTGCGGTGATGGGAAGTATGGAGGAGGTGAGGGGCAGCACTGGTGACCCCCCCAAGCTCCGGTGATGGGACTGCAGGTGGTGTGCAGGCCGGCCTCGCTGGAAGACTAGTGACCCTATGAGCATTCCCAGGATCCTCCTCGCCCTCTTCCTTGCCTTCCTTCTCCCCCACCAGCGGGTGGTGGAGGGTGACCCGTGTGCCCCTTTGCAGGAGTGTGGTTTGCTCAACTTGGTCTGGGGCCAGGTGCAGGAAGACGGGCTGGGACGGAGGACAGACAACCTTGTCCATGGACGTAACTGGAGGGGCCTCGACTGAGTTCAGGATTAGGGATGCACCGCGGGCCCCCTTCGTTCCATAGTGTGTGTGACTTTTAGGCGAGGTGTGTCTTCCTCTGGAAAACATATCAACAGCGACCTGTGAAGAACCTTCCAGGGTCCGTCACATACGTGACCTTGAAGAGACTAAGAGGACAGATGTACGTTTTCGTCTCCTCTTGTGCGTGTGTGCGTGTGCGTGTGCGATGTTGAACAGGAGGCATGCCGGATTACCTACGCACCAACCAACTTTGATCTTGTTGTTTTCTACAGGAGACATGGGTGACAAAGGACAGAAGGGCAGTGTGGGTCGCCATGGAAAAATTGGTCCCATTGGTTCTAAAGGTATTTGCGACGCACTTCTTGCCCTATTCCTTCCCGGGCTCAGGGTGCGGGAGCTCGAGGATGGTTGCAGACTGGCCAGTCCCGCCTGGCGGCTGTGCTTCTGTGTGCTTTCTACGCGATGCTGTGGTCTCAGGGTTTGCAGCGGGCAGTGGTGGTCAGACTCACCTGCTGGCTGTGCGCCCACCAGGGCGGGGCGAGGGCTCCTGTCCTGGAGGGCGCACAGGGCACCCGGGAGGGGGATCCGGGGCTGGTGTGCTTGGCAGGACGGTCACTACCACTTCCGTAACCAGTTTAACGAGACGCCGGAGCCCCGTTTGACTGATGGAAGGATGGTGTTCCGGAAACGCTGTCTGTCCACCTCCAGCTCTGGTGATTTTTTGAAACCGTGGGGTGTCTCTGAGTGCGAACGGGGCCCAGGAAGGCAACAGCCAGTGAGGGCAGCCCTCTAGTGACGAGATGCCTGCACTTGCCTGGGTCCGTGTGGAGACCTCCTCTGACCGTACGGCCCTGCAGGAGCGGGCAGGTCAGGATGTGGCCTCGAGCCACACAGCCCCTCTGTCTCTCTCGCCGCCCAGTCAGCAAACCCTCCCTGGGCCCCTGGTGTGCCCTGTGCTCTCAGTAAGCGAGGCCACGGGGGTCTCCCCACCTCCCCCAAGGGTGCTAATGAGGCGGCCGAGGCTGGGGACGACCAGGGCTTGGCAACGTGAGGGTGGGGCGCAGGGGGCGGGTCCGTGTGGTCTGCCCAACTCTGGTGCCGGGTTTCTTCTGCCTCAGTAACCTGCCTCGGGGGTTTGGGCTGCGAGTGGGTTCGGGTGGTTTGTTCCGATCGGTGGTCACGCACCTCCCCCGGCCTCAGCCAGTCCCCGGCAGGTTCTCGGCCAGGAGTGTGACGGTCGCTGCGGCCAGCTCAGCGGAGCTCAGGTGTTCCGGGGAGCACCTGTTCAGGATGGCCCACTCCTTACGTAAAGAGCACATAGATAGATACGCGTGGCACAGAGAGAGACATGTGCTTTGCAAAGGCTCTGAAAAATCGCGGTAAAGCATTCCTAGTATAAGATCTGCCACGTGAGCTATTTTCAGGCGTACAAGTCAGTGGGATGAAGTACCTTTGTGATGTACCACCTTCACCACCATTTGCAAAATGTTCTCATGGCCCCGGAGAGAAACTCGGTCATCGTGAGGCAGCGTCCCCCGGTCCCCTCCCTCAGCCGTTGTCACCACTACTCTTGGGGTCCATGACTTTGTGTGCTCTAGGTTCTAGGTCATTCACGTAAATGGAATCCTACTAGATTTGTCATCTGTGTCTGACTTATGTCACAGAGTGTAACGTGTTCTAGGCTCCTCTGTGTTGTAGCTAGGTCAGCATTTCCTTCCTTTTTAAGGCTGAATCATGGCCACACCGCATCTTACTTATTCACGTGTCTGTCGGCAGAGATTCGGGCTGTTTCCACCCGTTAGGTCCTGGTAGGTGCTGCGCAGAGCGCCATGGATGTTGGCATACGAGTAGGGATGTGTGTGCTTTTCACGTATAGCGTGTGCTCTGAATAAATGTCTGTGTCTCACCGCGGGACAGCTTGCCAGCAAGCCCCTCGTGCAGCTTAGTTTATGTGCTCGTCAGGCTGACCTGTCTGTCATTCCTGAGCCCTGATGCTGGTGAGAGTCACAGGGGTCGTCTGGACGGACCTGGCGCGCTCTCCCCCCTCCCCCCCCTTGACAGAATGTGCTGAGACTGCACAGAGGGAGGGGACACTGGTCCTCCACCGCCCACGCCAGCTGGATGTTTAGGCTCTCCGGGAGGAGAAGGCGCTGTAGGAGTGCTCACGCGCCTTTGTACATTCGTTGTGTATTTTATTGTTTTATTTTATAATTATTTTATCTATTTTATTTTTTTAAAGTTTATTCATTTTAGGGTAACCAGGAAGCTTGGTGGCCATGGTGGTGTCCAACCCCTTTCCTTTTTAAACAACATTTTTTTTTAACATTTATTTTTGAGAGAGCAAGACAGAGCACGAGTGGAGCAGGGGCAGAGAGACAGAGAGAGAGAGAGAGAGAGAGAGGGGACACAGAATCCGAAGCAGGCGCCAGGCTCTGAGCTGTACAGAGCCTCATTGTGGGGCTTCCCGACCTGAAACTCACGGGACCCAGTGAGATCGTGACCTGAGCTGAAGTCGGACACCTAACCGACTGAGCTACCCAGGCGCCCCTCACCCCCCCGCCTTTCCTTTATAAGCTGCGGGCAAGGTTGGGCAGGAGGGCTGCATGGCACATCCTGTCTCCAGGAGGTGGCGTGACAGGCCAGGTGGGGGCCCTGGTGCCCTTGGAGAGGGCTCAGGAAGGACTCTCTACTCCACTGGGGTGAGACTGTCCCCAGGTCCACCCCAGTGCCCACATGACACGTTCTCCCTGAGTTTCCCTGCCATCATGAGGGCACAGGTAGGAGTCAGGGTTAGTTGTTACTGACCCAGGGGGTTAAAGGTTCATGACGTGAACCTACAAATTGTTCTACGAGACATCTGGGGTTTTTGGAGTCGATTTAAAGAAGGATCGTCTGGCAGTCTCTAAAATCTAGTGATAGGCCTGTGTCCCATGTCACATCGAGAGAGCCTGAAGAATTAGAGATCTATAGAATACAACTCTCTGTATTCACAGCAAAAAGAGGGTCCAGGGGAAACTCCTAGGATGTTACCATGGAAGAAACAACACTGTTATCCAGGGGAAGATCCTAGGACACGACACATGGAACGTTGTTAACCCTGATAATTCTGAACTTGAGTGACGTGTCCCAGCTCCACTTGGTGATTTTGACTTTGCTTGCCTTTTTCAGGTGAAAAAGGAGATTCTGGTGACATAGGGCCCCCCGGCCCTAATGGAGAACCAGGTATGGCACAGAGGGCCCAGGGGTTTGTAAAAAAAAAATGTATTAAAACTTGCACTTTCTCCCAATCTCATTGAAAAATAATGACAGGGGCACCTGGGTGGCGCAGTCGGTTAAGCGTCCGAC